ATTTTAGAAGCCAGAAATATTTAAGGGAAAGAATATGTGTTTTCTACGCAACCCAAAGTCTTCTATATTCTCTCTTCTAAGCATTTCTTCAATGTCATACTTGTTTCCCTGACAGAGATACTATGTAACTAATGCTGCAGTCATTATCAACCTCCTTAGAATTACAAAAAAAAAACCCCTTTTTCCCCCAAAACATTAATTTCTCATTTATTTTATTTATTTGGAAGGCAGAGTGAGAGAGAGAGTGGGAGAGACAGAGATTTTTCATCCATTAGTTCAAAGGGTTAGGGTTGGGACGGGTTAAAGACAGAAGCCTGGAATTCCAACCAGGTCTCCCACATGGATAGCAAGGCTCCAGTACTTGGGCCATCTTCTGATGCCACCCCAGGCACATTAGCAGGGAACTGGATCAGAAGCGAAGCAGCCAAGACTCAAACCACTGCTCTAACATGGGATGCTGGCATTGCAAGCAATAGTTTAACTGACTGGATCACAACACCGGCCCCAAAACCATACTCTTAAGGCTCTGATCTTTGAATATGATAATTTTCTGCTCATAACACTCTCTCATATTCATTCTTCAAGATTCAGTCCAGGTCTCTTCCTCCTGAAGATTTCACTATCCCTCCCCAAATCAGAACTCATTCCTCTGTGTCACTATTTTCTTGGTAAATATTTTTACTGTAACACTTAACACTCTGTGTGCCAGAATTTGCTTCTCATCAGACTAAACACCATGTTTTCAATTACTTATATTCTCAGTGTCTGGCCTGTACTAAATGTTCTATTTAAGATTACAATGAGCATGACTGAACAAATGCACACATAGTGGGTAGGCTGTATTATTCCCATTTACAACTCTTTGAGAAGGGCCTACTTTATTGCCCTTTGTTTCTTTTTTTTTTTTTTTTTTGGACAGGCAGATGGACAGTGTGAGAGAGAGACAGAAAGAAAGGTCTTCCTTTTGCCATTGGTTCACTCTCCAATGGCCGCCACGGCTGGCGCGCTGCAGCTGGCACACCGTGCTGATCCGATGGCAGGAGCCAGGTGCTTATCCTGGTCTCCCATGGGGTGCAGGGCCCAAGCACCTGGGCCATCCTCCACTGCACTCCCGGGCCACAGCAGAGAGCTGGCCTGGAAGAGGGGCAACCAGGACAGAATCCAGCGCCCTGACCGGGACTAGAACCCGGTGTGCCAGCGCCACTAGGTAGAGGATTAGCCTAGTGAGCTGCGGCGCAAGCCGCCCTTTGTTTCTATTACTAGAAGATGGCCTTTTCAATTTCCTGCTATCAATGCCAGCAGGTGCAAAGTACTTTACCAAGTTACATAAACATTAAGCATTAATATCTCATTTCTCAATTATGTTGTAACCAGCAACAACTATATCCTTTCATAACAGGTATCCCTCAGATCAACTTATTATCTTTCTAAATTCTTCTTTAATTCATTCAGGTTTCTGTAATAAAAATACCATAAACTGGGTAAAGTATAAATAACACTACCTAATTTCTTTCTTTTTTTTTATTTTTATTTATTTTTTTTTTTTTACAGGCAGAGTGGACAGTGAGAGAGAGACAGAGAGAAAGGTCTTCCTTTGCCGTTGGTTCACCCTCCAATGGCCGCCACGGCTGGCGCACCGTGCTGATCCGATGGCAGGAGCCAGGTACTTATCCTGGTCTCCCATGGGGTGCAGGGCCCAAGCACTTGGGCCATCCTCCACTGCACTCCCGGGCCACAGCAGAGAGCTGGCCTGGAAGAGGGGTAACCGGGACAGAATCCGGCGCCCCGACCGGGACTAGAACCCGGTGTGCTGGCGCCGCAAGGCGGAGGATTAGCCTAGTGAGCCGCAGCGCCCGGCCTACTAATTTCTCATACATCTGGAGGCTGGGAAGTCCAAGCTCAAGGCACCAACAGATTGTGTCTGGAAAAGGCCAATTCTTCATGGATAGCAAATTTTACCTCTCAAATGGTAAAAGTAACAAGTAAGCTCCCTTGGGCCTCTTTTATAAGGCAACTAATCCCATTTTATAAGGGCTCAACTTTCATGATTTAGTCACTTCTCAAAGACCTTAACCTAGTAATACCATCACAGTGATTAGGTTTCAGTCTATGAATTTTGGGGGGCACTTTTAGACCACTGCCTTTCTTGACTTCGCAGTTCACCACATCATCTAATCTAAATTGGTCCTTTTTGCATCAAACCCTTCTAATCCATTGCTTGATTCTAAGTCTCTCTCTATTCTTTGGTCATAAAAGTCATTCCATAAAACTTTGACAAGAAATAAGTTTAAATTTTAATTCTGCTCCTGGTTGTACGATCTTGGTTATTCAGTTATTTAACCTCTAATTTCCTTGTCTGTGAAATAGAGGTCTACAGTAAGTACTTACCTCATAACATTTTTTGGAAAAAAACTCAAGTGTATGTAAAGCACTTAACACAGTTCAAAGTACAATACAGAGCAGGCACTCAATCAATGGCAGTTGTTACTTTCCTACCTCTTAGTGCTTCTGGTATTCAATTTAATTACCTGAACCTTTGTTATTATATAGTTGGATCTGACTGTGGAGTTAAGAGAGAAATTCTCAGATCTAAGCACTGAGGAAGTATACAACTCTGAGGCAGACATTAGCTTTGTTCCAGAAGAGTTAGTACAACTTTCAATCTTCTCATCTCCACTGGTTTTACACTTCTCTTCCTACAGCACTACATTTTAAGCAAAATAATGCATTATTAAACTTCTCAAAAGTTTAAGAACATGATCAAGCATTCTGAACATTCTGTCTTTGTGTGATATCTGTCCTCTTCCTGACACAATCTCAGTACCCATAACTATTCTTTATGCAACTTGGCTTGCAAATCCTTGATATACTGGATGTCCGTGTTTGGAAGCATTTGAGTGTCTCAATATCATCATTAAAGGGTATCTATCCAAAGTGAATAACTACATCATAGTTTATCTGGCCCCAGCACATACAAAAGGGAGCTTACTGCATCCCTTCACTTGAGCATCCCACAAACTTGAACCAATGCCACCATGGACTGTGCGAGACTTCCCCACCTACATTACCCAGCAGCTCTTCCTCAGTCTTTCACTCATATCAACTGTTGCCAAGATAAGTTCTCAGCATTTTTTTCAACTTCTTTAAAAACTTCATGCAACATTTTATATTACTGCCAGTTCCTATACATCTTATTTATATCTTGATTTTAAATTTTCAAATATTCTGTGAATCTAATGTATGTTAAATTTTCCAGTATTAGTCTTCCCTACTTTTTAGGCATGTCATTTCCCCTTCATCTGAATGACTGAATAATAGAAAGCAGAATGAGCACCAAGAAAGTATTACTACTTCTTCTAATTGCTTATTGAACAATACTTCTGCTCTTATGTGCTTCCTCAAAACCAATTTCTCCCTAACAGATTCCCCCAACTCTTAGGACATACACATGACCATCTATTTTCACCAGGACCATAAAACTTTTAGAGTTAGAAGGGACTTTCCAGGATCGTCTAGTCTTACTCAACTCTCAGAAAATCAGGAAGCTTTAATTATATACCCTAGGTCATAACGCTGGTTAATAGTATATCAGAAAACAGAACTAAGGAATTCTAAAACCAAATATATGGTATTCTTTCCATCATGGGTTATTTGAATTTTTGTATTTTCACCTGTTTATTTCATCCACACATATTATTTTTTTATTATTTTATCTAAAACATTGAGCAATTTTGTTTTCAAGGGTATTCTGGCTATTACACAAGATGCACCATATCCTTTTTTTCTCTATTTTTTTAAGTCCATTTGAGGAGTAGATTGATAAATAGCCTAGCCTTGTCTCTCCTGATGAGCTACCTGGCAAGAGATGTATAAACTTCAATGTGTTGCAAGAACTCAAGAAAGGAATGATATGGCTACAAATCTCAAATCCTGAACCTCAGTATAAAAATGTACTTAAGGTTAACTACCAATTCCATAAGATCAGTAGAGAAAATGTTAATTTTATCATTGCATTGTTAAGATGAAATATATTGAATCTCTGTATTGGTGATACAACATTCTTTTCACCCTCTTTTTTTATTACTCTGATCTTCGCTTATAGTAGGCACTCAATGAAAAATGGCTCATCAGCAAATGAATAAATAAACCAATAAATCTCTAAAAGGAAAGATCATTCAAAAAATGGAAATGCAAAGATCTGACTTAATAACACTTCAAAAAGTAAACTGAAGTTAAGAGACATATTCCAGAGGGACTCACTTAGACACCACAGCTAACTAACTAAATAAATCTTCACATTGTAGTCACTTTTTGTTTGTTTTTTAGAGAAAGTGGTTACTCTTTTTTTGTTTTGTGCTTTTCTCTGTAATCTCTCACCAGGTAACTCTTGCTTCTCAGGCTCTTCGTACATAAAAATCTTGCACAATAATTCCTCTGCTCATTTTTCTAGAAACACCAATACTCAAGATCAAATCAAACTCATTATCATAAGATCATAAAAAGTCATCAATAGACATATGGATTACACTCTTTTAATATTAAATTCTTCAGTATTTTACTAGCACTTTCCATTAAATATCATTCTTTATACTGTTACTGTAAGTGAAAAGTAGTAAAGCAATATCATGTTAACTCAGAAGTCAAATATGGAGTTTGCTCACCTAATTATTTTTAATTGTTTACCATTGATTTCACGTCAATGTTTGTGCTAAGCTGAAAATTATTGAACTAGAACTGTATGAAACCCAAGCATTTTTATCCTTTCCTTATATGTTATTTAAATATCATACTCAAATATTTAAAAATTATCTTACGCAGTTAAACTAATGTTATTTGATACATGATCAATAATTTAGCTTGTATGAAACAACACAAAAGTACCAGCTTATAAAAACCGAACAAGTTCTCTCTACGGTTTCCCTTTAAATTCACAAAAAGGAAAAATCTAATCCAAAAACTGTAACAAGAAAACTACAGATTTAATAAACAGATTAACTTACTGAAAAAATCTTTAAAGACGTTTAACCATTCCATTTTGAATACAAATTCTGTGTTCTCTTTTGTAAGCTTGTTAACACAGCTCAGGATAATTCTCAGGGAGCTTCCTGGTCTGTTCTGCAACACTGAAACTTCCCACACCCAATCCATGTGACCTGGCCCACACCCAAGCAACAGAAAGCTTTTCTGAAGCTTCTCTTTCCAAAACTTTTTTCCCCATAAACTATAACAGAATCTGTAAAATAAGTAAATCATAATGGTCAAAAAAGTAACCTATTCTTCACACTTACTTTAGAAGGAGTTTTAAAGCCTATACATTTTCTAACACTTAAAAATATACTATTGCATTCATTTTTCCTTTTCCTAAACTTTCAAACAATGTCTCCACCAGCACAATCACTGTGAAACAAACCCATTAAATAAGACATTTGAGTTACCAAAAAGAGACACAGAAATGCTAAAGAAAAGAAGGTTATCCAATGCATAAGTTGGATTTACATCATTATACTATGTAACTATATACTACCAATATTTCCAAGCACCCAGAAATAAAGGTAGTAATAACCATCATATTGTAATAAAGTTAACAGCGATTTCTTAAATCTTACAGAATTATAAACCTTGCTAAAACTGTCTCAATAATATCAGAAAATATGGAAAATTTCCTAGTAATATTAATAAAAATTAATTCTAATTAACTTTCAGATTTATATACAATAACTAAAACTGGCATATTTGTCCTGTTTGCTCTAAGATAATAGTTTTTCACTATCTTTTGTAACTACTATCACATCTCTCTAATTCCAGACACCAGGATCCTATTAAAAACAAACAGGGGCAGTGGTTTGGAATAGCAGTTATTTGCGACACCAGCATCCCTTATCAGAGTACCTGGGTTTGAGTCTCAGCTCTGCTTCTGTATACTCTAGGAGGCAGCAAGTAATGGGTAAAGGACCCTGCCACCCACATGGGAAACCCAGAACGAGTTCCTGGCTCCCAGCTTCAGCAGGGTTCTGTTCACAATGAGGAGTGAAGTGTAAGCAGTGAACCAGCTAATTGGTGATCTCTTTCTCTTGTGTCTTTTTCTCTGCCTTGCAAATAAATTTTTAAAAACAAACTAAAAAGGAACAAAAACTCTATATAGATATGTCTAGTATTCTCTGTGCATTCATCACTATGAGTTATACTTTCTTGAAAGAAGTTACCTTGCTCTCCTTCAATACTTTTCATCAACATGCTTTCAATAAATGTTCAGTATTTACAAAACCAGAAGTATTCTTGGTTCTAACACTGGTCTCTTCAACTATGTAAAGAAAATCACATTCTGATTTGCCTTCCATTTAAAAACTAATGGTCCTGGCTGGTGCCGCGGCTCAACAGGCTAATCATCCACCTGCAACGCCAGCACTCCGGGTTCTAGTCTCGGTCGGGGCGCCAGATTCTGTCCTGGTTGCCCCTCTTCCAGGCCAGCTCTCTGCTGTGGCCTGGGAGTGTAGTGGAGGATGGCCCAAGTACTTGGGCCCTGCACCCCATGGGAGACCAGGAGAAGCACCTGGCTTCTGCCTTGGGATGAGCCCGGTGCGCCGGCCGCAGCGGCCATTGTTGGGTGAACCCACAGAAAAGGAAGACCTTTCTCTTTCTCTCTCTCTCACTGTCCACTCTGCCTGTCAAAAAAAAAAAAAAAAAAAGGAAGAAAACAAAAAAAAAAACTAATGGTCCTGTTTGCAAAAAAATTAGAATCTAAAAAAACATTATCCCAACAGTTAAACGGCACAGCAACAACTACCAATTTATCTTTAAAACAATGTAAATGCTTTAGCTCAGAAACTAATATTCTAATACTTTATTTACTACTGGGAAGTACACTATATTTTAGTTTTTGATGTTTTCTGATAGTTAAAAACAGTACTTGTCTTTTATTGCTGATAAATTTCTAGAGTAACAATAATATCAACAACAAGCACATCAATTATATTTCATACTTGTCAATAATGCTACATTTTTCCCAAACTATCACTGTAAGGAGAAATTTTACTTTCCTTCTACATTAAGACAAAGAATCATTAATCAACAGCATGTTTGCCTGAATACCAAAAATGAAATTCTGTCCCTCCCAATTCCTTCCTGTCAGTTCAGGATAATTTCTTTTTTCTTTTCTTTTTTTTTAAAAAGAGGCCAGTCCTCACCCATGCATATTTCCTTCCTACCAGCTCAGTGGAGCCCAATGTGAAGCAGGCTCCACTGCCTCTGGCACTCATGGAAGGTCAGTAAAAACAGAAAGAAGAACAAAACAACTTTATAGTTAAAGAAGGGAGGGGGGAAAAATCCAAAAACAAAATAGAAAAGAGATCAGTTCTGTAGATACTAACAAATATTCCACAGCTTAAAAACTCTTTCATCAAATAGAAGAGTAAACTGATGGCTTGTTTTTTTAAAGTTCAAAATGTAAGCCATTAAACAAATTAAAATTTAACAATATGCCATGTGAAAGAAAATTGCCTTGATGATAAAAAAAGGTAATTTTGCATTTTACTCATTTTTCCCCCACCTCAATTAGAGGCAGAATTTGCCTAGAAGTCAAAACTCAAAAAAGGTACTCGTAACTCAAGAAGTCCCTGCTACGAAGTCAAATTTAGTTCTGTGCATTAGAATCCCTCTAATGAACAGATCTGGGCCCAGATTTACAGCAACTACTTGTTAACACATATGACCTTGACTCTTACTGGTGTCTGGCTTGAAAATCTGCTATAAACCAAATCTACCCAGCCGAGCTGAAATTCCAGTCCTGGCCCTTTCAAGTCTGCCCACTGCTGCCAGAAATCTGTATGAAGAACTGAGTAGGAATTAAGTTCCAGAATCCACTTAAAACAAATTAGTTGTTTTTAACACAAGACTAACTTACCTAAAGTATCCTTTAGGTTTTTTACAATAGATGCTTTCCGAGCACTGTTTTTCCTTTCCACATAGTTAGAAGGCACAAAACCTGTTTTATTCATGGAATTTCTAACTCTCCACCAGGACTTAGAATCATCCAGAAGCCATAATCTCTCATTCTTCTTGATGTCCAGCTCTTGTTCTTGTTGGGCCACATAGTCAAATTTGGCTACTACCACCACTTCTTCTGCCATCTTTCAGCAGCTTCAGCACTGTAAACACACAGGAAGTATTTTTATTTAAGATTGGAGTGGTAGTGGTGCATGTACTTTTCAAAATGAAACACCTAAAAATCTAAGGATACTAAAATAATGAAAGTAAAAATATAGGAAAAATAGATTAGCAAATACGAATTTTAAAAAGTTGATATTGCTACATTACATGACACAGTGACATTAGGGCAAAAACCATTACTACCAATAAAGTTTACTACATAATGATAAAAGTTTCTACTCAATATATAAGAAGTAAACTTTCATGTACCCAGTAACACTGCTCCAAAACAGACTGGCATAACAACAAGGAGAAATGAACAAATCCATTATCACAGAGGATAATTTTTAACACATTTCTCAGTTAATAAAATAAACAAAAATACAAAAATATTAGCAAAGCTAAAAAAACAACTGTTATCACAACCAGTAAATTTAATCTAATAGATATATACAGAATATTACATCCAAACAGAAGAATACAAATACAACACATATAAAAACTGATAAAATGTCAGGCCATAAAGGAAATCTCAACTTTCATATAACTGGTATTTTACAATCATATTCTCTTATAATATACAAATAGCTTTTCAAAAATCACATGTTTGAAAAAGTCAAAACTCCTGAGTCTAAGAAGGAATCATATGAAATAATGAAAATACTTATAAGTAAATGATAATAAAAAAGACTATACATGCAACTTTGTGTGATGCAGAAAAAGAAGGGTACTAAGGGAGGTGTTTTTTTTTTTTTTTTTAATCATTGCATTGGAAAATAAGAGGCAAATAAAAATGTACTAGGCCTGGTGCTATGGCACAGTGGGTTAAGCTGCTGCCTATGTTGGCATCCCATATGGGTGCTAGTTCGAGTCTCGGAGGCTCCACTTGTGATCCAGCTCCCTACTAATGTGCTTGGAAAGCAGTGGAAAATGGCCCAAGTGCTCCAGCCCCTGACACCCATGCAGACACAGATGAAGCTCCTGGCTCTTGGCTGTGGCGTGGCCCAGCCCAGACTACTGCAGCCATTTGGAAAGTGAACCAATGGATGAAGCGCTCTCTCTAACTTTGTCTTTTAATAAATAGATCTTTTTTAAAAATTAATATACTGAGTGTCTTATCATTTTTAAAGACTTATTTATGGGGCCGGCGCTGTGGTATATATAGTGGGTAAAGCTGCAACCTGTAGTGCTAGCATCCCATATGGGTGCCGGTTCAAGTCCCAGATGCTCCACTTCTGATCTAGCTCTCTGCTATGGCCTGGGAAAGTAGTGGAGGATGGCCCAGGTCCTTGGGCCTCTGCACCCACATGGGAGATCTGGAAGAAGCTCCAGGCTCCTGGCTTCAGATCTCTCTCTCTCTTTGCCTCTGCCTCTCTGTAATTCTGCCTTTGAAAATTATTTATTTGAGAGGCAGAGTTAGGGAGAGACAGAGAGAGAGGTCTTCTATTTGCTAGTTCACACTCCCCCGATAGTTGCAACTGCTGGAGCTGGGCCGATGGGAAGCCAGGAGCTTCTTCCGTGTCTTCCACATGGGTGTGATACGGGACTGGTCAAGGAGTTAGATTGGGTTCATGAGGTGGTAGCTGCACCTCCTTTGCTCTGTGTTGTCATGTTCACCTATCTGTCAATCTGAGTTCATCCTCTTATCTGAGAGGTAGGGGTGGTACCACATAAACACTTCCGTTTTTCTAAAGAACATAAAAAGCTAAGAAGAACAGATATGTGTTCTCTTCTCCTCACAGACTCAGAAAGAACAGAGTAGGGCATAATCCTTTTCTTTGGCCCACTTTCCCAAAATAAAGCCCTAATGAGTATGTTTTTCCTATTTTGTAAATAAGTATCATACTGCATGCTGTGTTTGGACCTGTACTTAGAATTTTCTTCTCTAGGTAAAAGACAAGAGTGTGGAAAATTAATAATTTAGGCCCAACCCAGCCTGTAACAGGTGCAGGGGCCCAAGACTGAGACCATCTTTCACTGCTTTCCCAGGCCATTTGCAGGGAACTGGATCGGAAGTAGTGCAGCCAACACTAGAACTGGTGTTCATGAGATATAGGTGCTGCAGACTGAGGCACTATGAGCATCTATCTTAAATCATTAAATCTCAAGTTTTCAAATCTGCAAATATTTCAGTAATATTTATTTCAAAGTTACCTAAAGTGGTATATTTATGGCTTAAGTTAAGTCTCTATGGGTGTCCTATATGTAGGATGATATGATACAATGGATTAAGCAATTAGAAAACTGCAACAATCGAAAGGAAAGCAAAAAAGGGGAAATAATAAAAAATAAAAGCAGAAATGACTGCAACAGAAAATACATAGGAGGCCAGTGCTGTGGTGTAGTAGGT